GTAGGAAGTCAAATTTAAGTATTCTTCCCCTTTGATTGTAATATTTAATTCCTTCTGGTTCCCTTTAACGTCCAACCTTCAAAGTCTCATCCTATCATGTTTTTAAAGAGAATTCAAAACAAAAGCATTTTCCCATGGGAAGGATTCTTATAATTAATTTTAAAATCTTATTTCAAATCTATCTGGACCTTTAGTCCATTTGTAACTTTCCAAAATCAAAGTTCTAATCACCCTTTTGCTGTTTATTCCAAAAGAATTTTTTAATGTCCTTGAACTTGTATTTAAAACATCTTTCACTAAGGATTGAAGGAAACTCACTGGGTGCTATAAAACTTGTTGATCAAAAGCTTCCTAATAGCTGAAAAGCAGTTAAAAAGCAATTTCCAAAAGTGATTAGAAAAGGAAGTATGCAAACATAGTGTCCTTAAAGGCACCAACAACAGTTTGAGCAAGATGGCTATTCCTTCATCTTCCAGAGCTCTAAACCCGCTGGAGACCACTGTCTTGTGGTCTTGCAAGGAGCAACTGTCTGGAGCACTTGTGGGTGATCTCAAGATACCCCACATCAAAAATCTCAAAATATTATATCTAATTAATATTTCATCTGAAGTTGTTGTTTTAAAGTCTTTATTTATATCTATAATGTTTTAATGATTTTTTTTTTTACTTTGTTAACAGCACTTGGTGGTGTCTTTGTAGAACTGCAGTTATACTTTGGATTTATTTTGTAAGTATAATCAGCAAGAAAGGCCTATAGCTGGGGCTTCAGGGAAAGAAATGGTGAACTGGAGACAGTTCTGCTAAAAGCAGAGCTGACAACCGTGGCAGAATGAAGAGCCGGAAAGTAGACCGGCATTTTGTAATTCCTCTGGACAAGGAGAGGACTTGAGTCATGATATAACTCATGGTAGTCATCTGGTGAATGCTCACAAATAACATGATAGTCATCTCGTGTTCACAAAAATTCAAACGTGCCATTAGGTCAGAAAGATAGCCTAGTCTGATCTAACCACCAGACTGTACTAGCTATTAAAATAGGCTGAGAATTGAAAACTGTTCCACCTGGAACACAAATGTCTGTGATCTATATATTTCTTCCATTCCCAGTGATTTATAATAAGGTGTGTGTATGAAAAAGCCTGAGTGGACAGACTTTAGAGATCTACTGTCTGAAGTCCATCAACAGAGACTTGTCAGAAGAATTGCATCCAAGGAACTTGTTCGTGGTCTGGCTGAACCTTTATGCACTATTTGTGAGAAATTCTGGAGTGAGTGAGGTGACAGGTGACTTTATGAAGGTTAATGATGCTTGTATCTTCATAAGAGAAAGGGAAGATCCAGCAACCTCTAAACTGACACTGATACCTGAGAAGATTCTACAACAGAATATAGAGCAGGTCTATATGCAACATGAGTGTCAGACAAAACAAATCTCAATGTTTGATTGGGCAACTTCCTTGATAGATTTGGACAGACATAATATATCTTAATTTCAGCAATGTGTTTGACAAATATCTCATCACATTTTAATTAGCTAGCTAAAATTATGGGATGGACAGCATCACAATAAATTGGGTATACAGCAACTCGAAAACCACACTCAAAGAATGTCAACCAATGGTTCCTCATCAAAATGCAGTGAGGTATTGAGTTGAGCATTTCAGAGTTAGAGACAATTTGGTGTAGTGGTTAAGGCATAAGGCTAGTAACTGGGAGACCGTGAGTTCTAGCCCTGCCTTAAAGACAAAGCCAGATAGGTGACCTTGGGCCAGTCTCTCTCTCTCTCAGCCCTTGGAAGGAGGCAAGAGCAAACCACTTCTGAAAAACCTTGCCAAGAAAACTGCAGGGCCTTGTCCAGATAGTTACCAGGTATCAAAACTGACTTGGAGGCATCATCATCATCATAATTCAGAGTTCAGTCCTGGATCCTGTACTCTGCAATGCTTTTACTAACACTGTGTTTAAAAGCTGAGATCCTTTCCATATGTATTTTATGTTATTGCTCTTCCCTCCCCCCCCATATATTAAAGCAATATTTGGATGTAAAATGTGGGGAGAATACTTACCAGCTTGAAGTTGAGTCAAAAGTGGGTAGAATAACTAATAATCCAAAATATAGAAATAAAATTCCAAATTATCTTGATGGATGAGATAAATAGGCTAGAAATAATGGAATGAAATTAACAGAGACAGTTGCAAAGTTCTTTACTTAAACGGAAATCAAATGTGCAACTGTTGCATGGAGGATACTTGTCTCATTAATCACACTTGTGAAAAGGACCTTCAAAGAGGAAGCTGAACATAAATCAACAGTATGATGTGGCTGAAAAAAGGGCAAATGCTATTTTAGACTGCAACAGGAGAAATATAGCTTCCAAATCATGGGAAGTACCAGTTCTCTGGTATAATGGTGAAAAGCTGGACTTTTTTCTTTTCTTAAAACAACACTTTCACTTATCAAAGGGTAGAATGAAATTGACAAAGAGCTCTGCCAATTCCCTTTCTAGCCCAAGTAGCAAGAAGGATGGTAGAAGGCTGGTGTTTTTCTTTCCTTTTTGGGTTGTTTTTTTTTTTACAAGTTAATTGATGGAACAGTAAAATGGTGGGCTTCTCTCTTCTTTTTTTTATAATATTTTATTGAGATTTTAAAGATACATATTTAAAAGTTAGAAATGAAAAGGAAAATTTG